ACCCCTGATTTGGGGCTGATGCGTTCTGAGTTGGAAGTACTTTTCAGACAATACAGGGTGAAACATCTGTTAAACTAAATACAAGCGTTGCCACAGAGCCAGGATTCTACCAGCGGGACCAGCATTTAATTCTCTAGCCGTGGATCAAATACAAACTAAAATAATTCTCTCTCTTTTTTTAAACAAATGAAAACTTTAGAACACAAGGTAATAATGAGCAGTAAGAAGAAAGCAACTCAGTTAAAGGCTAATAAAGAGACTGGTGAGGTGCAATGGGTGGGAAGGACAGGGATACTGGGAATTTGGATCCCTGTGTTGCCTCCTGGCAAAGGGGAGCTGTGAGATCATCTAGACGTAGCCTGGGTGGCAGATGGGGGCTCAGCACCCTGTCACTTGGGTGGTCTTGGGAAAGCTGCGGGGAGGGGGGGGAGGAGGTGTCCCAGAGCGGTCAACAGAGAGGATCTGATGCTGGAAGGAAGGAGCTGATGATGGATAGATTGAAGGAAGGAAAGCAGGAAAAGAAAGAAAGGGGGAAGGAAGGAAGGAAGGCTGGTTAATTTCCCATCTCTGGCTTACACAAGGTCTTTGCAATGGGCTTGGGTTGCCTGTAATGCAATCTGATGAACGCTAACCGTCCACCCCACCCCCACCCCCGGATTATCACCTGAATAACGTGCCCGGCATGCCCATTTTGTGGGGGCAGCCGTTGCAATGCTGGAGCAAGAGGGACGCTTAGCTGCTGAGGGGGTGCGGCTGCCCCAGTCGGAAAGCCAGGCATCTCCTGTCCCCCGTTTGCAATCCAGCCGCGCCCTCCGTGCTCTGTGATGCCTGCCAGGCAATGAGCCTGAACGCTGGTGGGGCTGACCCTGTACAAGCGTGTCCTCCACCTCCACCTCCGACAGCCGAGCTGAAGGGCCGGCTTTTTGAGCTCCTTTGCAAGCCGGCTCACAGCCTCCTTTTGTCAGGCGACGGGGGTGGGTGGGTGGGGAATCCAACCCGGTTGGGCTCCTGTTTCATGCAGTTTCGGACAGATCTCGCAGGGACAAAGACCTTTTTTCTGTGGCGGGAACCCCACCTCCCCTTTTCTTCCTCCGTCGTTGTTCAGGGGAATTTGAAGAGGAAAAGAATTCCCTCTTCCCCTTAAAGGAACAATAAGGCAACAAGACAAAGTCCAGTCCAGTCCGGGAGCCTTGTTTCCCTCCCCGGCCATTTTGTTTTCCTTTGGGAAGCAGCTTCCGCAGGCGTTTGCTTCCTGCATTCCCGGTGACTCCTCAGAACGAGGAACAGGCTGGTCTCTCTTTTTTTTTAATTCTCCTCCTTCTTCTTTCCCTTCTTTGGGCTTTTGAGGGACACTCAAGGGGTCCTGTTGTGAAACCTTCTTCGTGTACCGGCTTTCAATTCTGGTTCTTTACACGTTGCCCCCCCCCAAAAGGGAGGGTGGATGCATCTCAGGTCCTAAATTCTGCTGCATGATGGGTTTGAGGGGCGGGATGCTGTCTTAGGCTCATTAAGGAAAAGGCAGAATATGAATGTTGCTATCCTATGCGGTCAAGTCCCTTCCAACTCAGGGTGGCCCTGGGAATGAGTGATCTCCCAGGGAGGCAGAATATGAATGTTGCTATCCTATGCAGTCAAGTCCCTTCCAGCTCAGAGTGGCCCTGGGAACGAGTGACCTCCCAGGGATCCTGTCTTCAACAGCCCCGCTCAGCTCTTGCCAACCTGTGGCTTCCTTTATGGAATCAATACGTCTCATATCTGGTCTTCCTCTTCTCCGCCTGCCTTCCATTGTGTCTTGGCTTCTCTCAGTGTGCCCAAAGTACAAGTGACAACCCCCCCCCCGGCGTTTGGTAATTGAGTCAACAAGCCTGGGCCGGATTCTCCACGAGGCTGCATTTCCAGGTCCTTTTCCCGATACGGCCATCGTGTGACACCTACAAGCCATCGTAGGTGCTTGTGACTAAACTAGGACTGATTGCAGTTGGGGGCGTCCTGTCGGAGAGGAGGTCCCGCTGGCGGACCAACCAAGGGTGGAGTTTGGAGGCTGGAAGGTCTGGCTGCCTGGTGGGGGGGACACCCGTCAGCCACCCTGGGCCGACAGAGACCCTCAAGCACACAGTCCTAAAAATGAAACAAGCAAGTCGCCTCTCTCAAGAGAAGCACAGTTCCTTGGCTTTGTTCAGTGGGACTGCAGTATCTGCGGCGTGATTGGTTCCAAGCCCCTTCCACGAATCCCCCCCCCAAAAAAACATGGAAGTATGAAAGGTTATATATTGCATGGTTTCTGGCTCTCTCTAGTGGATAGTCCCAGTAAATACATCATGGAAATGCATATTTCTGGGTTTTTTTAAAAAAATTATTTTCAGGAAGCAGATAAGCCAATCAGTGGATACTGATCCCACGGATAGGGGGGTCCTATTGCCCTTGCCCCTCCCTCTTTCCTCTCTTCGGCTTTGGTTTATTGGCTTTGATCCCTTCCCAAGTGAGGTCACCATCCCTTGGCAGTTCTTAAGGAACCGAATCTTTGAGGTGTGGCAGAACCGCCTGGATTCATGGGGCAACCCACTGAGACGGGTGTCTTCTTGTGGGTGCTGGAGGTGGCCGGGGGGCAGCGGCGTTCAGGTGGCTCTGAGCCGTTGGTTTGCAGGACGGGTCCCCCCATGAACTGCTGGCGTCGGTTGTCTTTCCAGGCAGAATCCGGACCTCCCGCTGCAGCTCCAGCCGCGCCTTCCCCACCACCACAGCCCCACGTCCTCCCTCACCTCTCTGGGGTCCTTGACGCTGCTCCAGTCGCTGCCCCCATCCAGGCTCTCCCCCTCCCAGCACCAGCCGCCGCTGACCCCCAGCCAAGGAGACCCTTTCTCCCTGCCACGGACCCAGCCGCTCTTCTTGTCCAACCCGATCCACCAGGGAGAGCTTTACCGGCTCTGCCAGCCGGTGATCGGGCAGCCTCAGCAGCAGCAGCCGCCGCCGGCCCAACATCACCAGCCGGGGGATTCCTACTCGGCTTTGCCCAGGCCTCAGCCGGCACCGTCTCCGTACCAGACTGTGCCGATTGATCCTTTCCTCATCGTCCAGAGGGCCCAGCAGATGGTGGAGATCCTGTCGGACGAGAACCGGTCTTTACGGCAGGAGCTGGACGGGTGCTACGAGAAGGTGGCCAGGTTGCAAAAGGTAGGAGCCGAGGAGGGAGGGAGGGGGACGCCTCTGGCCGGCCTTCCCTTTTCTTCTTGCTTTGGGACGGTACGGACGAAACACTGGCGTTTCATGGCTGGTGAATGTCAAGGCCCTGAGTTCATAAGTGGCCTCGTAGAGCTCGGTGGTTTAGGCGCTCGGCTGTGGAGCCGGAAGTTGGGAGTTTGATCCCTGGACTCCATGACGCCGAGGAATCCCTTCCGTTCCAGCTCTGCCATTCTAAGATGACTCTATTAAGGAATGCCCTGATGTAGGATGTGATCCTCCGGGACAGTGCTGGAGCAGACCAACTTTGGATTCCTGGAAGCACAAAGTGGGCATGCATTCATTCACCCTACCTTTCTTGTTTGTTTTTTTTTTAAGCCCCAAAGTGGCTTAGATCTTTGAAAAGACAATATTTAAAAGCTTAAAATGCAAACATTCCACTTGCCCACGGAGGTCTCGGTTGCCTCCAGTCCGTCCATCATGTCTGCGTTTCACAATGCTCGTAGGTCTTTTAGGGCTACCTGTAGTCCACTGACAAGCGACCGCCTGCCTCTTCTGTCTTGATGCAGTTGGAAACTGAAATCCAGCAAGTTTCGGAGGCCTATAAAAACCTGGAGAAGTCTTCCTCAAAGCGGGAATCCCTGGAAAAGGCCATGCGGAACAAGTTGGAAGGGGAGATCCGTAGACTTCATGACTTCAACCGTGATCTCAGAGGTAAGAGCAGCTTCCAAAATCCTGCACCTACTTAACAAGAACTGATGATGGAAGACTAACCAGTTAAGATGACTGATGCAAGATATATTTTCCGCCTGTCCCATCTCTTTTTAATTGCACTGATCATTGCTGTTCCCTTCCTCGCAGCCCTTGCTCGCTCACAGGTCTTATCATGTTCAGTCATTCCTGCAACAGCCCTGGGTGGAAAACTTTGGTTGAGAAAATATTTATCTCCTGCTCAGTCTAAAATATTGCAGTAGGGTAAAACGGTGTGGGTTTCCTTGCATATTACTTTCGGCATTTTTCACTTCCAGGAGCTTGGCTCTTGGTCATAATCAGGATCTCGTTTCAAGATGCGTATTGAACATTGCTTAAATGTAAACCGCAGAAGCAAGTAGCCCTGTTTTACTAAGAATAAGCAACAGTCACCACCTGCTCAGCCATCTACTGAGTGATTGAGAAAGTTAAGATAATTGCAAAAGGTGTGGGGTGGGATTTACAGCTGGTTGCTGGAAATCATCTCGTTTCAGTCATAATGAAGAGCATGCATTGCAAGGTGGGGGAATCGGTTCTGTGATTCTGTTGTGACACAAGAGACACACACAGGACACAGAGTGTTGTGATATACTAGATCTCAGTCCCATCACCCTTACAGGTTCACTTGGTGGGGCCTGTCTCTGCTCCCAGACTCTGGAACTCCCTCCCACTGGAAGCCAGGCTGGCTCCATCTTTGCTTCCCTTCCGCAAACAGGCCAAGACCCTTCTCTTCGGGCAAGCTTTCCCTGACTTCCTAGGAGACAATAAATGGGTTGAACATTGAGGAAATGTTGGAATGCTGTCGGGTTTTGCAACAAAACCCTTTTGGGAGTTAAACACAAAAAGGATTTCTCCGGGTAAAATGGGAAATCTGTGCTTCCGACGACAACAGCCACCTTGCGTTCTCTAGAATAGCTTCGCAGTAGAGGTGTGCAGATTATACACCTCTGTTTTATAAAACCGATCTAGAAGGTGGAGGGAATATTCTGCTTTTTTTCCTTTCCTTTTCTTTTTTTAGCATGGGTGAGAGGACTGGGCGACTGAATTCCTTCATGCCACTGAGAGGTACCGAGTGTGGGGATCTTACCTTGTCTCTTCTCTCTCTCTTTTTTGCACAGAGCGGATGGATACGGCGAATAAGCAGCTGGCGGAGAAAGAGTTTGAAGGCTCCGAGGATAACAGGAAAACCATCTCCCAGCTGTTCGCCCAAAGTGAGTGCAGATTTTTGTCAGATTCGTAGCTCTTGATGGTGCAAAGGCTGAGCTGGGCGGCAGACGTGGGCTTGAAGTGACCGCTGGGTGGAAATCGCTAGCAAAAAGAAGAGATTTGGTGGAGATGGGATTTGCTCTGTCTGCTGGTGAGACGTTGGGGGTCCAGATGGGCAGATTTGTTTTTGGACTACGACTCCCAGAATGCCCCCATAGCAGCAGCCTCTTTTATATTACGCTCCTTTCTGTTCCTCCCTTAGAAGCTCATGAAAAATTTATGTGTGTGTGTGTGTGTGTGGGGGATTATTCTCCTTTTAGTTTTTTTTTAAAATCTCGGGGCAACTCTTCCTCTTTGCCGTGTCTCTCTGTGTGTGTGTGTGTGTGTGGATTATTCTCCTTTTAGTTTTTTTTTTAAATCTCGGGGCAACTCTTCCTCTTTGCTTCAGCCACCAGCTCAGATCCTGCTGAGTTTTTACACCAGCGCAACACCATCAGCAGAAATCTCACTAGCGAAGGGTCCCGGGGTTAGGAAGTCAGCCTTTGCTATTCCAGGCTCAGCAGTGCGTGCGAGTTGTCTCACAGCACCAAACGCCTTTGCTCATTTCTTAACCAGGAGTCAGTTTGCTGCTTAGATTGGGGCTGATGGCATTGTGCCAGCAGGGCCACCTACCTCGCAAGACTGTTGTGAGCGTAAAATAGGTGGCATCCGTCTGCTCCCACTCTTCACCCACCTGGAGAAAATGGAGGGGTCCATATCGAGGGAGGAAAGAGAAGCCAGGTGACCCTCAGCCTTCCTCCGCTAACCCCTATTTTCCCTCCCAGCCATCTGCCCATGTTCAAGGTAGCCTTCTTCACAGGTTCTCCTCCCGCTCCCTTTCTGTCCACCCAGACAAAGAAACGCAGAGAGAGAAGGAGAAGCTGGAGGTGGAACTGGCCGGCGTTCGTTCCGCTAATGAGGAGCAGCGTCGGCACATTGACATCCGTGACCAGGCTTTGAACAACGCGCAGGCCAAAGTGGTCAAACTGGAGGAAGAGGTAAAGCCTTTTTTTAAAGCATATTCTTTAGTGCTAGTGGAATTGGGTAGGGAGGGGCTCGTCAGCCTTGGAAGGCAGCCCATCCAGGAGAAGGAAAACTGCGATTCCAAACCTCCCCTGCCTTGTGGCTATATCCACTGATGGAAAAGGCTTCAGGAGTTAACCTCGAGGCAAAATCCGGAGCTGGAGTCCCGAAGGCAGCACGTGTTGTTCTGGCAACTCCTATAACATCGCTGGAACCAGTTGTATTGGCTCTTGCCTTTGGGGAACAGCCTGTCCTCCATATTATTTTACCCAGGCTTCGCATACAGCATCAAAGTGAAATTGAGGGGGAGGGCAGTCCCTACTGTCATGCAAACCTTATATTTTGCAATGCGTATCCTAATAATAGAGAAGGTGAGCTGATGGTTATTCATTAGAGGCGTGTTGTGTGTTAGGCGTTCCATGAAATCAGCTACATGTCTCAGGGAGTACTAACATTTGATTTGGGACGATGGTTTTCTCTTGGGACACACCTCCTATTGATTAATTGCTGATGTTGTGGTTGTAGATGTTCCGCCTGGAGACCAGAGCTGAGAAGTGTTATGCTTTTGGACTACAAAGCCCAGATTTCCCCTCTTCCTGCCAGCATAACTAGCTGGGGGATTGTGGGTATTGGAGTCCCCCACAGAGTCAAATGTCCCAGCTCTGCTGGAGAGAGAACTCATTATGAATGGGGCCCCTTTTGCATCGACTGAGGATGAAGCCCCTGCTTACCACTGTTTTTAAAAGCTGGCCACTTTTGGCCCGTGTAGGCAAACCATCATCCGTGCGTGCTGTATTTTTAGCCAGGCTTCCCTGGGGTTGGAGGCTTCGCGAGAGGCCAGGACTGGGCTTTTTCCTTCCTCCAGCAGATAAATGCAGATGCTTCTCTCTGCCTGGGCCCCAGTTAAGCTTTCAGGATGTGCGTTGTGCGCAGGGGAGGCGAGGAAGGAAGAGAAAAGAGCAGCCGGCCAACTCTGCCTGGCCGACTTTCCCAAAACATTTAAGAAGAAAAAAAAATCACTCTGTGGCCAACTCTGTGTTATCCGCAGTGATTTCTCAACCTCCCAGTTTTTTTTTTAAAAAAAGAGGTTCATGTTCTAAAATGTAGAATTTCACCATCCAGGCTATGATTTGGGGGTGGGTGGGGAGGGTTTGGTGGTTGAGCTGTCTCTGAAATCCTTGGTGTGCTTCCATTGTGATTTTGGCAAAGGAATTTCGAGTTAGCGAGAGGGACGGGTTGAGCAAAGCTGTTTTTCTGGCAGAGGTCGCAGCTGGAGGGCTGTGTGTGCGTGTGCGTGTGCGTGTGTGTGTGTGTTTGCTTGCATTCTGCAGAGTGGGTTTTTCTCTCCCTTTGGCTCTCTCCTCTCCTCGCTTAATCTTTTCCAGACGCCTTTTTAACAGCAAGCCCGGGTCTTGTATTGTGTCGCCAGGGAGGGGACTGTATGGATGTGACGGATGGTGGGATTTGGGGGTTTGTTTTGGACTCTGACAACGAAAGTGCTGAGAGGGGGGGGCAAGCCTTCAGCGGCTGCTGCTTCTGGTGCCCAAAGAACCCCTTGGAGGGCAATGCCAGGAGACCAAATTGAGATCTTTTGCATTATTGGGCATAAGAGGTTCCTAAAAGCAGCTGGTTTACGTTCTGTTTCCTTCACTATAATCGTCGTAATTGTGGTGGGAAAGAGAGCGCAGAGGGTGCGCTTGGACTGGATTGTCCCGTCCAGCTTGAACACTTGGTGAAAAGGACTTAGAACGAAAGGCTCAGTTACGTCCGTGACGTCCATGCAAAAATGACCACCCTACGTCCAGGGCTCAACTCCCGGAATCTCAGAGAGACAACATTCCCACGTGCTGGTTATGTCCTTGCTATCTATGCTAGCAGAATTTAGGGCTGCTGCAGAATTGGGGCAGTGATACAAAGTCATGTCATATTTAGGAGCGGCTCTGTTGTGTTAGTGACGAGACAAGGGGACATCAAGCCAAGAACGAAGAGATTCACAAATAGTTCTTGGTAAACTTAGATATTGTTCAAGTAACTTCTGATGTTGTTCAGTAGGACCCCCTTATCCACGGGATCAGTATCCACTGATCCGCTTATCCACGCTCTGAAAATATTACAAGAAAGATCCTAGGGAAAATAGATATACAACTGGCCACTAGAGAGGGCCAAAGACGATGCTATGTATAGCACTTGCTATTAAGATGTCATTCGCTATAATCTGTGGTTTTCAGCATCTCCGGGGATGGCTTGGAACCGATCCCCTCAGATGCTGGTGTCCGACCGTAGTTCTTTTATGCATGAAGCCCATCCTCTGAGCCATCTACTGCCCAGGATACGCAATGTCGTATTCACAAGAATGGACTAGTGGGAGTATCCTGCTTCAGAGAAATGGGAATGCCCTTTAGTTGGATCTTACAGATCAATGGTCAGAACTGGATACATTAGGCCTGCCGGATGGGAGGGAACCTGTGGCTGATGAAACCTCTAGGCCCACCTGGTGCCAAATGGGTCGTGTAAGCCCACTGTACTCATGAAGTGGTTGCCTGATCGTGTGACGGTGGTGGTGGTGGTGGGCAGCCCTGTCACTCACTCTTTGGGCTTCCTTCCTACTCCATCCACTGTACTCATGAAGTGGTTGCCTGATCATGTGACGGTGGTGGTGGTGGGCAGCCCTGTCGCTCACTCTTTGGGCTTCCTTCCTACTCCGCTTCAGTTCTTTCCTGTGCAAAGCTATGCGTGAATTGGAGAATGCTGACACCTAGCCGTCAATGTGTGGTACTGCAGGTTTCAGGCACACTGAGATAAGCAAGCCAGTTTTTAAAAAATTATTTAAAAAGAAATAAAAATTAATAAAATAACTTCCCTAGCATCTCCTCGGTAGGCATGTCCAGTTTTGAGTTAACTCGGTTTCATGATCTCGGTGCCGTGGCAGAGAAAGACATGGTTCTGGTCGATCGCTGGAGGTGGTTTTCCGGGGAGCGCTCCCCCAGACCGATGAGCCAGTTGGGTGCGTCGAGGGCAGTGCCTCACTTATGAAACAGAAATTGCTAGGTTGCTCTTCAGCGCCTTTCCCCAAGTCTCCATTTTGGTCTGGGAGTAATTTTCCAGAGGTGGTTTTTGAGGGTTAGAACTTATTTTAAAACAAGCAAACAGAAGGAGGTGCTTTGCTTGCCAGCCTGACCCATGACTGGTTTGGCATGAGATGTCACACGAGCACAGTGGCGCCTTGTCTGGAAACGGATTCACATCAAGAGTTTGTGTTGTTGTTTTTTAGCAGGCTCCTCCGTGAAGCCAGCTTAAACTCTGCTCTGGAGCAGAGGGTTTGGCAAGGCGGTTATTCCTCTGGTGGTTTGATCTGTTCCATGAGCGGCTTTAACCATCCTTTTATCTGCTTCACTCGATCTCTGCAGTGGATCGGACACCAGCTTAAATATATAATTGCAAATAAACTCTTGGGAGAAAATACGATCACCTACTTGATTTGGGGGGGGGAGTGTTTCATCTGCTTCTTCCCCACGGCCTGTTCCTTGGTGGGATGGCCAACGGATCCCGTTTGTGGCAAGCCAACCCCTGTTTCTGGCAAGGAAAATGAGCACAATGAAGGAGAGCCGGGAAACGTCTTCTAGTGCTTTTTCTAGAAAACATTTCTTGGCAAAATGCTGTGAAACGAGATGCCTTTCGAGACACAATGAGGACTGGTGACATGGGAGAATACGGGGTGGTTTTTAGCATCCAGATAGGAACAGGGACGCATCCTGTAGAAAAGAGGTGCCTCTATTTCATAGTTAGGGAGTCAGGACAAAAGGATCACTAGGTAATTTTGTTCATTGACTGCCTGCAAAGGGAGACAAAAGGAGGACGCAAACGGATGAGTCCTCTGGACGAGGTCTTAAGAGTCCTGCCCTTTTCAAAACACCTAGCCAAGGTTTTCCCAGGACGTTTCGGAAAAGAGCTTCAGTTCCTTCGGAACCGCTCCTGTTGTTAAGACTCCTCTCCTTTAAGGCTCCTGGGCCTGCCTTTTGTGCCCTGCCCCCCCCTTCCCGTCTTCTGCCTGCCCCAAGTGCCAAACGGGCAGAGAGAGAAAAACCATGCCCACTTCTCTGGTGCAAAGGAGGCACTGGGCATCCTTTGGGAGGCGAACAGCGTGCAGCCTTTGTGAAGGGCTCGTGGTCACCTCGCGAGCAAGACAAGGAGGGCTTCCCTTCCGGGAAAAGAGCCACGTTGGGGAGGGCAACTGCTTTCTGAGCCATGTGCGTTGCGTGGGGCTTCCTTTTGCGTACAAAGGAGGGGAGCAGAGCGGCTATCATGAGGAGGATGGGGATGGTGGTCCAGATATGGCCCTTGCTGGGTTCTCTGGAAGGAGTGACGCCCCCCAAGGCCCCGAGCTGCCCTCCCTCTGTTCCAGACTCGATAGTCCCAAGGAGGAGGAAGAGGAGGGCTTCCAAAGACAACTTTCCAACCCTTGGCAGTCCTTCAGTGCCCCTAAACCGCCCCGCCCCGAAGCACATGCTGACGGGAACGTCCCAATGCTTCACCAAGACCAAGCTGCGGCTGGGGAGGGGGCTCCTCTTCCTGCAGCGCGTTGGCAGCCGTCAAGATATTTCATTCCCCAGTTTTGGTCCCATCCCCCCCCCGAGGGAGGGAGGAACACGCCCAGGCTTCTGACCATGTTAATCAAATCCTTGTACAGTGTTTTGAGGTTTTGCGTGTAGTTTTCTTGGCCAAAACTGGAATGAGCAACAAGAATGCAGGAGAGGAGTCCTAGAATTTGCCTGCTGTTTCTTGAACTCATTATTACTGAAGACAGATTAGGAAACAGTCATAATTTTAGCAATGCACATAGAGCGGTGATGGAATTGGGAGAAATAGGTTGCAATCTACAAAGACTGGAACAGATCTGTTCGTCGTAAAGGGGCCACCAGTTTTTTCCTCCCACTTCTGTGTGCTTCTAGGCTCATAAAAGGGGGTCAGAGTGTCCCAGATAGAACTGGGCCCCTTAGAGGGACATGGAAGGATGGTTTCCTATTTTTTCCCCTGCTGATTTATTTTCCGGTGATAAAGGTTGCAGAGGTGGCAGGGGAAGTATTAGGAGACAGCATGTGACCTAGCAGAGAGCACGATTTGCATTCAGGGCGGATGAGGCCTCTTAAAGCCAGCGTGCAGAATCTCTGAGCCTGCTGTGCCGCCCTTCCCTGATGTCAAACAGGCTCCTCATTCTTTTTCCTTCTTTCTTTTTTTAAAAAATGGGCATTAGCTGAAGAAGAAACAGGTCTACGTCGAGAAGGTGGAGAAGATGCAGCAGGCGTTGGTGCAGCTGCAGGCAGCCTGCGAGAAGCGGGAACAACTGGAGCATCGTCTCCGGACCCGGCTGGAAAGAGAGCTGGAATCTCTGCGGATGCAACAGGTAAGCGCCTCTCCCTCTGCGCTGCCACAGCCGACCGTAAAAATGTTGGGAACAACAGCTCCTCCTTCTGTTTGGTAAACGTGGTAGATCTTCCTTCTGTTGCTGCGGGTGCTTCTCTTGAGAGGCGTCTCCCGTGCGGGCAATTCGATAAGCGTGGCCGCTAAATGGGTGGGCGAGGGAGCTGTCTCGCAGCAACCCAATTTTGAGCCCAAAGTGAAACATGTCTGCAAAGGTTTCTCATGAGGGAATAAGTCCTCCTTGGTTGAGCCCGGCGACCCTTTGCCTCTCCACTTTGCTAAGGCAAACCAACTCTTTATTCTCCAGAAAGCCACAGCATGTTTTTGTGTGTTTAATTAGGTTTTAGGGTTAGGGCTTTTAAATCTATTTTATGATTTTGATTGCAAGTTATTTTGTTTCATTTATTGTAAGTGATTTCAGTGAGTTGAGATCTGTCCAGAGAGTGATTGCGCTATGGGGGCAGCTGAAATAATAAATAAGGAAGTAGGTAAGTCAGTCGGTAGGTAAGTACATGGATGGATGGATGGATGGATGGATGGATGGATGGATGGATGGATGGATGGATGGGCAGACAGAGTTAATGGGAGTAATAACGTGCCATTGTTGTTTCCACGGGCGCTCACGGAGCCCAGTATCTTCCAGGCTCACTCCATCTCACGCGTCTGCTTTGTCCCTTTCTCCCGTCAGCGCCAGGGGACGTCTCAGCAGGCCAGCGTCTCCGAGCTGAACGCCGCGGCGCTGATGGAAGCCCTGCGGGAAAAGGAAGAGAGGATTCTCGCTCTGGAGGCGGACATGACCAAGTGGGAGCAGAAGTATCTGGAGGAGAGCGTGATGCGGCAGTTTGCGCTGGATGCGGCCGCCACCGTGGCTGCTCAGAGGTAGCGGCAGCCTGGGAAGCATAAAAGGATCCGAGCAGGGGACACAGTCAGGCTGTTCTGAAATCCCTGCTTTCCAGCCCACCGGCTTTAATTAATCCTGGTTCTCTTCCCGGTTTATGGAAGAGAAGACCTTTGGGCCCGCCCCTCTAGACCATGTCTACTTGGTTTATGGAAGAGAAGACCTTTGGCAGCTGCAGGTCCATGCGTTCCCCTTGCAGTTGCGTCTTCCAGCAGTTTCAGCCCTGCAAACAAATTCTGGAGTTTGTCCTGGAGCTGGTTTAGCTTGTGATAAATCTGGCAGGAAGCCTACCTGTTCCATCAATTTCTAAGGTTTGCTCTCCGAAAAGGGGGAATCCTGTCTCTGCTGCCTTCTGCCAGGATTCCCCAACTCGGGAGAGGAATTTAACCATCTTTTCCTCCCTGTCTGACAAGGAGCATCCGCTGCTGAAAACTTCAAAAGGTTCATTCATTTATAAGGGCTATTTAATAAGATCAGGTCGCACGGCACAGGTATGGGTGCCGGACTGTTTCCATTCGTGCGGTGGCACTCATCGCTGTAAGACTGTTGCATTTGCTGCATTGCACCGTTAGACCTTTTTTCTTTGTTAATTTGAAATATATACTTTGCCTCCTTGCTGTTACAAAACCAGCTTATCTGGAGAAAGGCTAGGCTGGGCACACTCTTCTCTGACGTTCTCGTTTTGTGCATGCTGGGACGTCTTACACATAGAGAGGGCATTTTGATGGCTCTCCCTCTGGAACAGATGGGCGGGGTATAAATCAAATAAACAAACAAACAAACAAACAAACAAACACATGCACGAACACCTTAAAACAGATGGAGACAACCCAGCAAAAAAATGGTGCCAACTGTGTGCCTTACGTTGTAGCCAGACGCAGTAAGAGTTACGGTATATTACTGGAGCACATCTCCCATCATACCGCAGGTTACGTTGTAGCCAGACGCAGTAAGAGTTATATTACTGGAGCACAACTCCCATCATACCGCAGTTGGCTTGGCTAGAGCTATATTTGATTCTGCAGCTTTTGAGCCTAGGAGCCAGAAAAAGCTGTGTTCCTCTTGCATGTTGCCTAGTGTGCTTTTTTGGGTGGGAGTAGGGGTATTATCGAGTTGGCACACACATATGCCCTGGCTAAGTGCTGGCCTGTCTGTTCGCAGGGACACCACGGTCATCAGCCATTCCCCCAACGCCAGCTACGACACTTCCCTAGAAGCTCGCATCCAGAAGGAAGAGGAGGAGATCTTGATGGCCAACAGGAGATGCCTTGATATGGAAGGACGGTAAGCAGGGGTTGGGTCCTTGCTTCTTTCAACTCCTCCTCAACACTGTGCCTTCGATCTTCAGGCATAAGGGAATCAGTGACAACGGCTGCGGGGAGAAACACAGCCTCTTGTCTACCCTCTAAAGCAGGAGGCAACTGAATCTTTGGGGAAGAGGGAGGACACGTTGAGAAAAAGCACACGGTCAATGCAACCAAGGCCTGTTCTTTCGCCCCCCACTCTTAGAATCAAGACCCTCCACGCTCAGATCATAGAGAAGGATGCCATGATCAAAGTCCTCCAGCAGCGGTCCCGGAAAGAAGCCAGCAAGACGGACCAGCTGTCTTCCATGAGACCAGCCAAGTCCCTCATGTCCATCTCCAACGCCGGCTCGGGCTTGCTGTCTCACTCCTCAACACTGAGCAGCACCCCCATTCTGGAAGAGAAGAAGGAGGATAAGACCTGGAAAGGCAGCTTAGGTAACTGATCGATGCATGCATCCTTCCTTCCTTCCCTCCCTCCCTTTTGGAGATGAAAATCTGCACGATTAGAATCTGGCTGCATGAAAGCCTCCATTCTCGCACATGGTGGGCTCCTTTGAGGGTGTGGCAGGGCAAGGCAGGAGAGGTCCGAAAGGGTCTTGAGCCCTGGGGAGGCAGAACATCAGCTGGCCTTGCGGTGTCTGATGGCTTTTCCTTCCAGGTGTTCTGCTGGGGACAGAATGCCGCTCTGATTCCATCCCTTCCACCCCTTCGCCGGTTCTCCCCTCCACTCCGCTGCTCTCCGCACACTCCAAGACCGGCAGCCGGGACTGCAGTACTCAAACGGACCGGGGCAGCGAGCATAACAAGGCCCATGCGCCTGCCACTGCCTCCTCCTCCTCCTCCACCACCACCACCACCACCACCAGCATCACCCCTCCCGTGCAAACAAGACTCCCAGCTATGAATCTGACCTACGGTTCTGACAAAGCAGGTAAGCCTGCCTCCTCTCTTGGTTGTGCTCACGGATGGCACAGAACAGGAGACTGGCAGCTCTGGCGGCAGGCGGAACTGAGATGGCAGGGCAGGGCAGGGCAGGGCAGTCCACCCCCATCTTGTTGCTGGGGAGTGCTAGCGAGGCAGCCTTTGGCAGAGTGAGAGAGAGAGAGCAAGGGAGGCTCAGCACCTCGCCCTACGGACCGGAAGCGGTTGATGAAGTCTCCTTCTGCATCAAAGAAAACGGCGAGGGTCCAAAGTGGCTTTTCTGGCACCATGTGAATCTGGGAACAGCACCTACGTTTGGGACGACTCACAAGAACTTGATGCACAACTTTGGAGAAGATGACTGACCATCGAAAACTCAACTGTTTGTTGTTTTATCTTCTTAATAGCCGGTTAAAGGTATCACCTGCTCCTACAGCAGTCAGTTCGGTTTTCTGTGAATAGGGATAACTTCGTTGGAGAGCTAGCAATCAAACTATTCTTCCTCTCAGATGGCAAACAGCAGAGCTGTGCTAGTCCTTTCCGGCTGCCTTTCCCTACAGAAAAGTTCATTACCCCATAATACCTCCTCTGAGATGCTCCTTTTTTTAAAAAAGGAGTTTAAATCTTAAGTCTGTCCAGTTAAATCCATCAAAGGTTCCAGTTCTTAAAAAAAAATGGCATTTTGGATACTGTGAATAGAAATCTGAAGCATTCTTCTTTTAAAATCACGGTCTTTATTTGTCCGTTTTCTTCTTCTTTCTTCTCTATAGATGGCTCAGTTTTCCATTCCAGCACTCTAGAAAGGAAACCCCCACCTCAAAATCTGGGGCAGGACCTCAGCCACGGAGAGATGGTGGAATATCTCATCTGAAGAAGTGCAGCGATGGAGTCCGGGAGCAGGAAACAATTCCCCTTGCCCCAAGACTGTTTTTTTTATAAAAAAAAATAGCAAATTTTAGTAATCAGGTCATAAAGGAATCTACAACGTGGTCCTGTTTGTATATACTTTTTTTCTCAAAAGTCATGGACACGTTAACTTATAATTTGTTCCAAAATAATTGAAGTAGTTTTGTTCTCTTTGTGAAGGTTATCTTTCTTAACTTTGGGGAAAAAATATACTGGATCTGGTAGCATCTGGATTGAAGTAAGCCAAGGTCTTTAAATGCACTACATTTTAAAAATATCAGTATTTTTTTTTTAAAAAAAGCCCTTTGTATTTAAGAAAGATCCATGCTTAATGTCCGTAATGCCTTTACACAGCCTGGTTCCTCACTAGCCAGACAATATCATGGTGCTGTACAATCTGAATGTTAAGTGTCCGAAATAGTGATTAATTCCTGAGTATTCTAGTCCAGCCTCCAAGGGCAAAGGAGGAAGCTGGTCACATTCCTTAGGAGAACGTCTGTTTCAGAACACATTCCAGGACTNGGGGGGGGGGGGAATGTGGATTTCCACAGTGTGCCAACTCTTGGATGTATTCTCCCCCCTTTATTGTTCACATGGTTTTGCCTTTCTGTTAAATATCCCAAGAGGTAAGGGGGGAGGCTTGCCTTTTATTTCATATATATCCAAGGGCCTTTTTTTTCACAGCAGGATAACGAATAATGTCCTCTGTTCCGTGTCCCAGTGAAAACTAAATTCTTCGTGAGCCTCTTTTGTATATCGTTGTTCAGTTTGATTCCCTTTGTACCACATTATGCAGCTGGCTAGACTGGAGCAATTTCTGTACTTAAAGAAAGTTTCAGCATTTTTTTTTAAAAAACATTGGACTTTAATTTTTTCATGATATCATGCTGGAGAACTTTTATATATATCTATATCTATATACTGTATTTCCCTCTCTTCTCCTCCCCAAATGTTTTCTTTAGCTGTAATCTGATCATTCCACAAAACAGGACTTTCTTCTTCTTAAATGTATATTACCTTTGTAAGAATTTAGTGCCTTACTCAAGACAATAGTTACAGTGGGATTCAATATTTTTCAGAAACAAAAATGGGGATGGTTGAAAACTGCGTTTTCAAGAGAATCCTTGATAAAGTGTGTTGTCGGCAGAGATGGGCACGAATCGCCTGTTCGGCAGTTCGTGCTGGTTCGTTTTTCATCCAAACAGGTGTTTGGTGCTTCCCAGCCCTGCCTCCTTTGGTGGGCGCCCACTCAGAGGCAGCATCCCAGCTCCCCTGCCCTCTCTTCTATGCCCGGGCACTGCCTCCAAGTGAGCAGCTGCTGGGGGAGGCGGGGCGTGGAAGCACCAAACGTGTTCGGATGAAGAACAAACTGGCTGTTCATGTCTCTCTCTCATTGTAGAGTATTTTCCCCTTCCCTCACCCCACCCAGAATTCCTCTGTGATATATGTTTTTGGGGGCTAAAGCCAGCGGATAAGCCCCAGACCAAACTAATCTGTTGAACTGTTAGGATTTTAGTAGACCCAGCACTTAGTCAAGCCACACGGGTCAACTCTAAGCAGGACTAAGATTGCATCTGGCCTTCTCTTTTTTTGGAAATTCCATGTAGACTTTTCGATTGTAGAAAGAGAGAGAGAGGTTGTGGAAATTAATTTCATGCAGGCACTTAGCTCGTATCAGAAATGAATGTGGGTTGTTTGTTTCCTGATGCTTAACAATGGCCTAGACTAATCACAACATTCACACTTCTAGCGAGGAAAAGGCAAAGCAAAACAGGGAAATGCAGCTGGATCTTGTCCTTCACGGACCCCTGGGGATCCCTGGGAACAAGATGCAAAAACTTCTGCCAGGCAGGGAAGTATTTCTGAGTAGAGTGTCATGGCTTCAGTCCTGGAGTGGGCATAGATGAGAGCCATGTTGCACAGACGGCGATGCAAAAACTTCTGCCAGGCAGGGAAGTGTCCCTGAGTAGAGTGCCATGGCTTCAGTCCTGGAGTCGGCATAGATGAGAGGCATGTTGCCCTGAGAAACATCCAGCGATGACTAAAAAGAAAGATGGGGGGAGAAAAACCCCTGTTGTGTCCAGGAGTGTCTTTTAGATTTCCTATTCAAGGGAGCATGCTCTTAATAGTAGCGAAACAGGCGAGATCAGCCTTTCTCTACTCCAAAGCACAGGGCTTTCACGTTTCCTCCCTAAGATACTGTATTGGACTGGAGCTGAGATTGGGGGGAAGGATAATTCAGTGAGCTTCCCATGTATTAATAATGCTCGAGGGAGCTAGGCAGCTGCCACTCACTTCCCAATGGTGCTCCTCAACTTCTGAATTAGCAGTGGCTGTGGGGCTTTGCCCCGCCCTTGCACATGCAGTTTCGGCACCTCCTATCCGATTCACCTTCTCCCGAGAAGTGTCTTCAGCTCAGCCCATAGTAGTCAAGGTCTTGTGAAAGAAAAGCAAAACCTTCTCTTTCAAATCTTCTGCGTTTTAAAGGACCATGCTGATTACAGCATTTTTGGGGGAAGGGGGATTTGTAACTGTGCCTGTTTTAGGAACATCTCTTTCCCCCTTTGTGGGAAGCCAGCCTCCCCCCCCCGCATTAAATTTGGGGTCTCTTTGTACAGAATTAATTTTTTTCAGTTGAAGCGACTTAACGTCAAACTGCACACCTCTTCCTTCCTTCTGTAAAACTGCTTTGTACTGGAAACGAGGCAAGGAAATACAAGCCTGTGATAACTTTTTTGAGTTTGTGCTCAGACCAAACTTTAGACTAAGAGTTTAATGCAAACTCGGGTAATAGAAGCAGCGGTGTAGATTGTGTAGAGGAAAGCTACGTAGGTCTTCTCTGAGAGCAAGCCCACAGATGTCAGACCGCCTCCCCCTCTGATGGGCCTGGGTGTCTCCTTTCCATGGGGAACAGCCCAAAACAGACTGGATGGTTTAGGATGGAAACTGGTTGAAGGAGAGATACCAACATTTGGCATTTCCCATCTTGGGGGTGACCACAGTGCCATAAAACCAGCGGGAACGTCTGTCATTGCTTGGTGCCTCAATATATTTCTTACTTTGTACCTGTATAGGAATGTGTGTTTTTACGTCTAGAATGTATAGCTCCTCGTAATGGTAACTGTATTTATGAAGAAAATACATTTCTTTCTGAAAATGTTCGGGTGATCTTAGCCTTCTGTTTCCGTAGCCAATTTAAATGTTCAGGTGGAAGCCTCTCAGAATCTACCTTGCTTGGGGAAAGTGGGGAATTCTACTCTCGAGACAGAAAATGATGCGCTCCGTGCTCATTCATTCCCCGAGCAGAAATCCATTTGGAGGGGCTGAGCTCTTGTATGGAATGCTTGAAACCGAGGTTTCTCAGGTGGAAGTCCTGTGTCCTCCCTAAGCGGGCTCCCTGGTTATTAGGCTCTGAATCTTCTGTCGTTTTCTTGGCTGGAGATGGGTTGACAAGAGCTACGTGCTGGATCGCTCTATCCCAAGACCCCCACGTTGTGAGGGATTGTTGGTCCTTCTTGCTGCCATCTGCTGGACCCCAAGGACTTCGACATATGAAGCGCTACGTGTTCCTCCTAGAGCAAGTGAAGGGTGCCACTGTCTGACTCCCTGATTTGGTGGGTAAAGCCAAAGGTGCAAGACATGTCCTGACTTGCGCCAGAGTCCTAGGGTGCGCGCGCACAAAAGGGAGCTTCCAGGCTTGGTTCGACGGTTTCATTATAGCAGATGGGTTTCAAACAGACGGACTCTAGCTCTCTCCCTAATGTTAAAGAAACTATTTGTCTCATGGCTGTTGTTTCTAGGAAGTACACAGCAGTCTCTAGATCTTCACCACCTTTGCAAAAGGGTGAACGCGCTGCCTCTACAACCAGGAGGCACACCGTGCGCATGGAGGAGGCAGTCGCATCTGTTTCCTGCCGGCCTTCCCCTTGCCACCTGGAGCGATCTTTCTGAAGCTTTCGGCCAAAAATCCCTGTGGCAGCAAACAACAGGAAAGCCCTTCTTGAACCTCCACTGGGGGAGCCAGGAAGGACTGCACATATATACCTTTTTTTTCTGCAAGACTGAATCTTTTGTCCCAGCGACTCAATTGTTAGCTGCCCCAGCCCTTCGGAAGCCAGTAAGGCTGAAATTGGAGGGGGGCCCATAGGCTCTTTACGTTTCTCACACGGAAGGAAGAAACAGTAGGCACGGGGCTGAACCGTTTTGTGAATATTTGCTAGCCACAGACTGTAGCTGTTTTGTGACTCTCTAGGGCCTTCTCATTAGCTGAATGGACGGGAAAGGTTTCAGAAAGGTTTGCTTCAGCAGTGCTTCACCCTATCCTAGCGATTGTCATAGGAAGGGAGACCCCAGGAAGCTTGACTCCATCCAAATGGCAATTTACAGACACCGTTCAGATGAACTGATGGTCAGATGCAGAAAATTATCCTCTGTTTGCTCAGCTAAGAGACATCCTTCTGAATAGAGACCGTGAGACAGACCAAAACGGAATGTGTGCCTTTAAAATAAAAACACCACAGACAAGATATCATTTACAGTTACATGCGACCATTTATAGAGCTGAAGAAGGCACATTCTTGGCCAGAATTGTAACTGGCAAATCCAGTACAGTAAATATAAAATGCGGACAGTCATGTTGTTTACATTTAAAAAATTTTTAACTTAAACAAAGGGCTTCCTGAAAATTAAAACAGAATATATATGTCACGTCTGCATTTGGGACGAGAGAAAACCAAGAGGCCCATGGAGATGCCAATGTCTAGCAAAACCAAGCAGCCACCTTTTCAGGTGAGACCAACATCCAGAACGCCCAGAGCCTGCACCCAGAGTCCTCTTGGCTCTGGGGCTGGGATTCAAAGGGGTCACGTGCAAGCTTCACACCCTTTCAACACAGAAAGCAGCCTTTAAGGCTACATAAACCACCCAGCTCTGAATGGATTTTAAAAATGCCATTCTCTTTATTAAAAGCAAATAGGAAAATTCCATGCCATGTCTACCTAGTGATGAGGACACTGCATTTGGACATATAGAGAAGTTGCGTGGAAGCCAACCTGCTACAGAGATACGTTCCAAGGAGCCCCTGCTCTGGGCTGAACTTAGAAACGGTCTCGTAGGAGCAGAATCTGCCTGGGCAATCTGCTGATGGCTTGAAACCAGGGCCTCCGTTAGCACTCCTCTCCCTCTCACCGGATTTTGATTTAAAAAAAGAAAAGAAAACTTGCTTCCAAAAACAAAGCCAAATAGGGACGGGTGACTTGCAGTGCCCCAAAGAATGAGGAGGATGGCCCTCTTAGCTCACCGTGGTGGGGTGCCTGGGAGGCTAGACCAGCCAATGAATTTTGGCAATGGTCTTGCCGGAAGAGCCAGGTGTGAACCCTGCGAAGGGAAGAAGCAAAGCCCTCGTAGATCTCTGTACAATCTGCCCAGTCATTTAAAGATACAATACCAGAAAACAGACATCAGATATGAATGCCACAGAGGGGAACAGCAAAAATAAATAACAGTAAATGCTATGCATAGTTCTGGGGTTGTTTTGCACTCAGATTTCCAAACTATTTTAACCAACACATGACAACGTAAAACTCTTAACTTAAAACCAAGTGCAATGAAGACAAGAAACAAACCTATGTACAAGACAGGTTACATTTTACAGAGCACTGTACATTCAAGACAGAAAAAATGATTTTGGTTTTTTTGAATTAAAGCGGAGTATAAAATTTTCTCCACAAAGTATCAAGAGGAATATTAGAAAAAGCTTAGCAAACTACATCAAGGTGACACTCCACCGGAAAGTGGACATGTTGGCGGTATGCTGGGGGAGACAAGATTATCAATGTTAGGTGTACAATTAAAAAAATTAAGTCCATCATTCGCTCTATCAGCTTTCATAATGTTTTTCAGAGGATTACATGATGTACAACTCACTAATCACATCACAATGAGTGGATGAAATAGGGCATTTTCTGCAAACTGGGTTAAGCTGGCGTTTACTTATGTCTAAATCAAAAATATACTTTTAGAAAAGCCAAATATACTTTACCTCATGCTGGTTTGATCTCAAAGAACGCCCACTCTCAACTAAAGAGCCCAAAGATGGTTTCTCCGAATTATGACTAAAATTATTTGGAGGCCACTGCACCTACATTCTTGCATTCCAGAGGGAGACGCAAAGTAAGAAAGCTGCTTCTAGGCTTACTCCATTTACCAGGAGATGTGTGAATTAAAACAACATCCAGCGTAACCCAATGTTTTTATTTTTGAGATGAAGGGCCTTAACTGCAAAGTGAATTGCTGGCAGACAAATAAAGAGAGAGTACAATTTGTGGGGAAACCACCAGGCCCCCATCTTTATCTGCCGGATACCACCAGAAAGTGCCCCCAGAGCAAATGTCAAATGGGAATGATACTCCTTTTCACAGAAATATTAGAAGCATGATTAGAGTAATTGATTGCAGGACAGACGCCTTCAAGGCAGACCTGAGAGAGGGGAAGAAATCGAGCTCCTGTGACTTCTGTTTAGTGAGGATCCGACAGAGAAACACATTTCCTCTTTTGGAACCCACTATTTCCCCACTCTGTTATGACGACTCCTACGGGTAAGAGGACAAGCCACACGGCAGGCAACACAAAAGGGAAGCTGGCGAGCCACAGTTAGGCAGCCGAGAGGGCTCTGCCGTCTTTGAAGCTGCATCCTTAGAGACCCGTGAAGTTTCAGATATACGCTACTTATTTCTAGGTATACAGAGGCTATCTGATATCAGACGTCAACCAGTGTTTCAAAAGAGTATCACAATAAGAATGTGATTTTGAACACAAGCAAACCCCTGTAAAAACCTGGAATTAAATCACGCCAGCCTTGGCATTGCCCTTCAGCATAACAATGGGCACCCACTGGGGAACTGACCTGGAATTAAATCACGCCAGCCTTGGCACTGCCCTTCAGCATAACCGCGGGCTCTACAGCAAGCCCAGAGGAGTTGAGCCCCTGGCCTGCCTCTGCCAGCTGCTGCTCTTCCTCCACGCTTGTCCCCCGGGCCGTTTTCTTGAAAAAGCGGGAGCTGAGT